CCGAGGCAGAGTTGCTCTGCCCCGGGCTTCCTGGAATCAGCTGCTGATCAGTTTCAGCAGCAGCTGACTTGGGGACACCTGGGGTTCTTAAGTTGAATCTGTATGTAAGTCGGAACTGGTGTCCAGACTGATCAGTTTCAGCAGCGGCTGAATCTGGACGCCAGTTCCGACTTACATACAGATTCAACTTAAGAACAAACCTACAGTCCCTATCTTGTACGTAACCCGGGGACTGCCTGTACTCATAATAAGATTTAGGCCTTTATGCATCTCTAAAGAGAATCTGTCAGCAATGTGCTCTAATTTATCTTGAGGTTGGGAAATCTTGTAGAATCAATTCAATTGGTAAAGGACATTTTCAAGTCAATATTGCTACTGAATTCTATGAACTATTTCATGGTTTCAGAATTTCTACAAGGTACGGGAAAATATCCACTTTAGACTTCTTCAAAATTTTGAAGCAAATAAGTCTTTATTGTATTGTAGAGCTTGGAACAACTGTATGAGATCAGGTCATATCATTACATTTTTGCAAAGCACATTGTCATAATTATAAGACTTAGTAAGAAGGAATAGTTCCATTTGTGATAAACATAGAACCTGCATGGAGCTCATCAAGGAGGACATTCATAAATGAAAGCATTATTAATGCTGTTTCATATTGGGCATCATGGAAAATAAATTAGAGAAGAAATAATGACACCTACTCACTAAGCAGTAGAACGTGAAAGAGAAATTAGGGATAATGTACACCATCTCACAACTTTTTAAGAGCAAAACACTCTGAAAGGAACGCATTTGGTAAACACAGAAGTTGGCTATTTCGTAAATCTGAAGAAAGATCTTATTTTGAACACTGAATTGTGGAGGTGATAAAAATTTTCATCCCATTCCAGATGAGGTGGTTAGTCACCTTGTGCAGTAACTGAGATTCTTCAAGATGATTGTCTCTCTGGGTGCTCCACTCTATGTCTTTCAGCGCACTGCACTTATAGTCAGAGATTCACAGCAGTCGTACCCTGCGTGGTGTCTCTCCATTCTTTCTCTATCACAGAGAGGTATATTGAGACTCGGAAGCAGAGGGGAGGAGGGAAGGTTGTGGAGCTTCCACAGGGATAATCATCTTGAAGAGTGTCAGTTACTACACAAGGTAACCACCTCTTCTTCTGTAGGGCTACGTCTAGATTGCAAGCCTCTTTCAAAAGAGAGCGTCTAGACTGCAACCTCTTCTTTCAAAAAAGTGAGCCACTTTTTCGAAAGAGAGCACCCAGGCAGTCTGGATGCTCTGTTTCGAAAAAGCCCTGTTTGCATTCAAGAACGCCTTTTTTCAAAAGAAGTTTTTTCGAAAAAAGGCTCCTTTTTTTGAAAAAACCCTGCAGTCTAGACACAGCCTAGGTGACTAAGGAGCAGTACCTCTTCTTCCACTGTAGGTGACTAAGGAGCAATACCTTATTTTTCTGGAAGGAGGGGCTTCAGAAGTTGCATATGAATATAAGAGAGGACAGCCAGACCAAATTGTGTGTCCTATGTGGTTTTTCTATGGGATAATATTAGGTAAATGTGCGTGTTGAAGCACATGTGGCTGCTCTGCACATGTCTAGTATTGGCACATTTTGAAGGAATGCTGTAAAGTCAGTCACTGCCCTAGTGGACTACATGTGCATAGAGGTAGGAGCAAGGTTGTTGTTCTTCAAGTAGCACTGGTGCATGCATAGTGAAATCCATGTCAATAGTCTCTGATTGGAGATGGCTTATCCCTTAGAGCAGGGTTGGGGAACCTAAGGCCCAAGGGCCGGATGCAGTTCCCAGCTTAGCTGAATCTAGCCCCCGAGGCTTGAGATTCACCCCCGCCACCAGCACACCAGTTCATGCTCCATCCCCCCTGCCACTCTCCCACAAGGCTGAAGCAAACAAAATCTACTAGCCTGGACCTCTGTAGGCTCTGGTGTGTGAGGGGAATGTGGGGAGCGTCTTTCTACTTCTCAGTCGGGACCAATCAGCGAGGGGTTTGTTTTGTTTTTTTGCTTCTCGCTTTTGTGCAGCCCTCAACTGATTTTTCTGTGGGTCAGTGGCCTCTGACCCAAGAAAGGGTCCACACCCCTGCTTTAGAGCACTTGAAATCTATTATGTATATAGAACCATTATCGTTTTAGACCCTGATGCTACAGTAATATCTCCATGCAAAGATCTCCTGGCTTGTATGGAACTCTGCATAGGTGCTGAGATATAGAGGCATGGATTTGGTTTGTAGGACAGCGAATGCTTCTGCTTTCACTCACACCCGTGAAAGCTTTTGGACATTTCTATTTACAATTTAGACTGTGGTACTGTAAATTCATTTTAGTTAATTTTTTAGAGCTAATGTTTTTGAAGAGAAAACAGTAATATATTGTTTGTACACACAAAAAAGATACAACTTTTTACCACTTAAAAATACCTTTATCTTAAGAGCATAAGAACATAAGAATGGCCATACTGTGTCAGACCAAAGGTCCGTCCAGCCCAGTACCCTGTCTGCCAACATTGGCCAATGCCAGGTGTCCCAGAGGGAGTGAATCAAACAGATAATGATCAAGCGATCTCTCTCCTGCCATCTATCTCCACCCTCTGACAAACAGAAGCTAGGGACACCATTCCTTACCCATACTGGCTAATAGCCATTTATGGACTTCACCTCCATGAATTTATCTAGTTCTCTTTTAAACTTTGTTATAGTCCTAGCCTTCACAACCTCCTCAGGCAAGGAGTTCCACAGATTGACTATGTGCTATGTGAAGAAGAACTTCCTTTTATTTGTTTTAAACCTGCTGCCCATTAGTTTCATTTGGTGGCCCCTAGTTCTTATATTATGGGAACAAGTACATAACTTTTCCTTATTCACTTTCTCCACACCACTCATGATTTTATAGACCTCTATCATATCCCCCCTTAGTCTCCTTTTTTCCCAAGCTGAAAAGTCCCAGTTTCTTTAATCTCTCCTCATATGGGACCCATTCCAAACCCTTAATCATTTTCGTTGCCCTTCTCTGAACATTTTCTAATGCCAGTATATCTTTTTTGAGATGAGGAGACCACATCTGTACACAGTATTCAAGATGTGGGTGTACCATGGATTTATATAAGGGCAATAAGATACTCTCCATCTTATTCTCTATCCCTTTTTAATGATTCCTAACATCCTGTTTGCTTTTTTGACTGCCACTGCACACTGCGTGGACATCTTCAGAGAACTATCCACGATGACTCCAAGATCTCTTTCCTGATTAGCTGTAGCTAAATTAGCCCCCATCATATTTTATGTAGAGTTATTTTTTTTCCAATGTGCATTACTTTACATTTATCCAGGTTAAATTTCATTTGCCATTTGTTGCCCAGTCACTTAGTTTGGTGAGATCTTTTTGAAGTTCTTCACAGTCTGCTTTGATCTTAACTATCTTGAGTAGTTTAGTATCTATCGTCTGCAAACTTTGCCACCTCACTGTTTACCCCTTTCTCCAGATCATTTATGAATAGGTTGAATAGGATTGGTCCTAGGACTGACCCTTGGGGAACACCACTAGTTACCCCGCTCCATTCTGAAAATTTACCATTTATTCCTACCCTTTGTTTCCTGTCTTTTAACGAGTTCTCAGTCCATGAAAGGATCTTCCCTCTTATCCCATGACAACTTAATTTACGTAAGAGCCTTTGGTGAGGGACCTTGTCAAAGGATTTCTGGAAATCTAAGTATACTATATCTACTGGATCCCCCTTGTCCACATGTTTGTTGACACCTTCAAAAAACTCTAATAGATTAGTAAGACATGATTTCCCTTTACAGAAACCATGTTGACTTTTGCCCAACAAATTATGTTCTTCTATGTGTCTAACAATTTTATTCTTTACTGTTGTTTCAACTAATTTTAAGCAGTACAACTTTATTTATTTTGCTTTCGCATAGGTTTTAGGGAGAAAATATTTGTCAAAGTATCGGGACCACAGATAATGTAGGGAATATAGAGATACCCTTGATTGGAATGAATGGGTTCAAAAGGAAGTATACAATTGCCAAGTAAGTTTAACATTGCTTTGGAAGAAAAGAACTCTGCCAATAATGTACAGGTGGCAACTTTAATTTCTGTTCAGCCATGTTCTTGTTTGTATTACTGATCATTTACATTAGTAATAAAAAACTGAAAAGTGACGAAAATTCCCCAAACTACATATTCAGATAGTTTTATTTTCTGAGTATGAAATTTACCCAGGACATGGAGAGATGACACAAGGGCCTGTATGCCATATCTATAGTCCCACAAGGGTGTTGTGCTAACTCAAAATAAATTGTGATTTGCTGGAAATCTTGGAGCAAAAAACATTACAGCGGTATCCAGAAAAGACGGATTACTGTGAGTACACTTACCACCCATAGTTCTATAGTTTCTTTTGCAGTGATAATAATGGTTAAAGTTACAAATTTTACATCCATTGTGATTTGCTCATGACAAGAAATAGGCCACATCCATGAAATTAAGACTCAGATGCAAATTTCACCCATTCAGTGTTTGGACCAGGCAGAGGAGGATTCAGATTTACTTGGGCTCTGAGCACAAATAACATTGGGCCCCCCCATACAACAGGTATGTCAGAACCGGGGCAGAGTGGGGGGAGGGAGGGAAGGTTGCCATGCCTGCTCACTTTTTAATGAGAGTGTAATCGCCTCAGGCAAGCATTGCGCTGCAGGGACTGCACTTTGCAGTGGGGAATCAGCTCTCCTGCAAGTAGAGCCAGGGTCTTCTCAGCAGACAGTTTCAGGTGGGCCTTTGCTCTCCCCCACTATGGGGCCCTGATTCTACTTCTTTTCCACCAAAAGTCCTGCCCCCTAGCCAGGCTAGAAGCCAGAGCTGGGCCATAGTAAGAACTGCTCAGGGAGCCCCGGCCGCTGCCAGGAGCTCTGGACTCTCCATCCGCCCTGGACAATGCGCCCAGGGGATGGAAACACAAGCCAGGGACTGGTCTTGTCATGGCCTGGCTCTAGCTTCTGGCCTAGCCAGGGGCAGAGACCTGGAGGGAAGAGGAGGAGCAGGAGCAGAGCCATAGTTATGGCACCATTGCCCCTCCCCCAACTTCTATACAGTTTCCAGCACTCCTATGAGGGCCCCCAAATTGGCCCAGTGCCCTGGGCACAGACTCCAGGTGGCTCCACATGCTGCCCTCACCTGCAGACACTGCCTGATAGCTCCCATTTGGCTGTGATTCCCAGAAGTGACCAATACATAAATAAATAATCCAGAATATTAAATTATAGTACCAAAATACAATCATGTTTTAGAGCCACTTATCTAACTGCCTTCAATGTGAGTGTCCCCAGAGGGACAATTTTAGGAGGAAGGATGCACTTTACACATAATGATGCATAAAAGTGCTCTGCTTGGATAGCAACCATTTGGCTGTGATTCCCAGAAGTGACCAATACATAAATAAATAATCCAGAATATTAAATTATAGTACCAAAATACAATCATGTTTTAGAGCCACTTATCTAACTGCCTTCAATGTGAGTGTCCCCAGAGGGACAATTTTAGGAGGAAGGATGCACTTTACACATAATGATGCATAAAAGTGCTCTGCTTGGATAGCAAGA